CAGGAGGTGGAGGTTGCAGTGAGCTGAGATCACGTTGCTGCACTTAGCGAGATTCCGTGTCAAAAAAAGAAAATTACACATTTCTGTATTTTTATATATGCCTATTAAAAAATGAAAGCCCTCAAAACTAACCAGGTAATGGGGAGATGTCAAAGGGTGCAGAGTAGCAAATACGTAGGATGAAGAAGTGGAAAGATCTAATGTACAGCAGCAGGATTATAGTTAGTAACAGTATATTGTATCCAGGATCTTTGCTAAATGAATAGATTACAGCTGCTCTTGCCACAGGGCGAACAATGGGTACCCAGGTGAGATGATGAATATGTTAGTTTGTTTCACTACAGTAACCATTTTACTGTGTGTGTGTCTTATAACATATTGTGTATCTTATATATACACAACAAAATGCATTAAATAAAAAAGGAAACATTTCCACAGCACCAAGCATAGGGCCAGTTGGAAAATCAATTATTTGCTGACTGCAATCAGCAACTCCTGGAAGTTGGCTTCTGGAAGCTGTTAGATGAACCCCCATGGGAACCTTTCTGTGAATTTCTTAAAATGGTAAATCAGGCAGGGCATTATGGCTCATGCCTGTGCTCTCAGCATTTTGGGAGGCCAAGGCAGGATGATCGCCTGAGGCCAGGAGTTCAAGACCATCCCAGGCAACACAGTGAGATCCTGTCTCTACAAAAAATAATAATAAAAAAAATAGCTGGGTGTGGTGGTGCACACCTATAGTCCTAGCTCCTGGGGCAGCTGAGCTGGGAGGATCACTGGAGCCCAGGAGTTCAAGACTGCAGCGAGATATGATCACGTGATTGCCTGGGCATCAGAGTGAGATCTTGTCTCAACAACAATTGTAAATCTTTTTTTGTTTGTTTGAGACAGAGTCTCACTCTGTCACTCAGGCTTGAGTGCAGTGGTGTGATCTTGGCTCACTGCAACCTCTGCTTCCCAGGTTCAAGCGATTCTTCTTCCTCAGCCTCCCAAATAGCTGGGACTACAGGTGTGCACCACCACACTCAGCTATTTTTTTGTGTGTTTTTAGTAGAGACGGGGTTTTACTATGTTGGCCAGGCTGGTCTCAAACTCCTGAGCTCAAAGTGATACACCTGCCTTGGCCTCCCAAACTGCTGGGAGGCAGTTTGTCACCACACCTGGCTACAATTGTAAATCTAATGGTGTAAATCAGTAGTTTAAGACCCAGGTGATCTGGCCCTTGGCTGCCTCTTGAACCTCATCTCTCTCTAATCTTCCCAACTCTTAGCCTTCTGTCCTACCTCAAAGATCCCAAAGTCCTTCCTGACTCAGGGCCTTTGCACAGAAGGCAGTTTTTCCTGCCTGCAATGTTCTTCTCCTGATTCTTATTCATCCTCCAGGTCTCTGCTAAAATGTTTAGACCTTCCTTGACCCAGTTATCTAAATGACAACCCCCAGTCCTCAGAATTACTCTCTCCCCTGGCATCCTGCTCTTCCTCTGTGGTGACATCATCACTATTGGTGAGTTGCTGTTTCGTGGTGGGTGTGTACATTTAGACTGTCTGTCTCCTCCACCAGGCTCCTTGAAGGTAGGGCCTCTCATCACAGCTCACAGCTCTGTCCCCGGGGCCTGGTGCTCCTGAAGCACACACTAAACATCTGCTTCGTGCCTGAACCCCACTGCTTCTCCAGCATGTCCCCAGCCCCACCCAAAGGGAGGGCAGGCCCCATACACAATGGGGATTTGGTCAGAGTAGGCAACTATTGTAGAACTGAAGAAAACTGAAGCAAGACATGTGCTGCAGGTATCCCATGTGCAGATGGGCTGCTCAGAGCTCGGGAAGCGGAGGCCAGAACCGGCAGTAGGCAGGCTGTCTATCCCCCCACCCCATCCTAAGAATCCAGGACCCGGTGGCGCCAGCGGAGACTGTGGGTGGGCAGTTGGTTCCAGTCTGGGGACAGGTTCCTTCCCACTTTTTCTGACTGGAGGCGAGTGAAGTTGGTTTGGAAGAAAATGTCAAAGTGAAAAACAGTGGAGTGATTCAGTCTTGCTTGCTGCCATTCGAAAGGAATGAAAGTGGGATTAACAACAACAACAAAAAAACGACACACACACACACACACACACACACACACACAATCCAAACCAAAACAAAAACGAAAACACCCTACTGTTTTAGAATCTGCCTCAGAAACAATCATCTTTTTGTTTTCTGTGTCATAATAAAATGAAGGGCTCACCCGAGCTTTGTTCTGCACTTGGGCTGGTCTGCAGAGAGCCTGGTCTCCGGGTCACAATTTTGCAGCTACTAAGACGCACTTCTCATTTCCAGTGTACCTACTGCAAGTGGGTGCTGGGATAAGGGAAGGGTCCCAGGTGCATTGAGAGGAGGGGATTGAACATCCCACTGAATGGGTAAAGGGTTAAGTCAGTGATATTTTCAAAGCGTTCATCAGAGCTTGTCTCTTACCTGCTTAAAACTCTCCAGGCCTTAAAATAAAATGTTAATCCTTCTCCTTCATTGTGATAGGCTGTATAATGGCCATTGAAAGATATATCAGTGACTCATGCCTGTAATCCCAGCACTTTGGGAAGTCAATGCAGGAAGTTGCCTTGAGCTCGAGTTCGAGACCAGCCTGGCCATCATGATGAAACCTTGTCTTTACAAAAAATACAAAAATTAGTCGGCATGGTGGCTCAAGGACCTGTGGTCCCAGCTATTCAGGAGGCTGAGGCAGGAGGACTGCTTGAATCCTGGAGGTGGAGGTTGTAGTGAGCCCAGATGGCACCACTGCACTCTAGCCTGGGCAACAGAGTTAGACCCTGTCTCCAACACACAAACCCAACAGATCCTAATCCTGGGAGTCTGTCCATTTTACCTTATAAAGTAAAAAGGTCTTTACAGAATTAAGTGACTACATTAAGATTCTTTTTCTTTTTTTTTTTTCTTTTGAGACAGGGTCTTGCTTTGTCACCCTGGCTGGAGTGCAGAGGCAAAAATATGGCTCACTGTAGCCACAGCCTCCTGAGTAGCTAGAACCACAGGTGTGCACCACCACATTCGGCTAATTTTTTTTTGAGATGGGATTTCGCTATGTTGCCCAGGCTGGTCTCAAACTCCTGAGCCAAACCCATCCTCCTGCCTTGGTTTCCCAAAGTGCTAGGTTTACAGGCATGAGCCACTGCACCCAGCCCCAAATTAAGATTCTTTATTTGGGGAAGAATATCCTGGAGTATCTGGATGGCCCTAACCCAATCACAAGTGTCCTTATAAGAGAGGCAGAGAAAGATTTCATACACATAGAAGAGGAGGAGGCCATGTGACCTAGGAGGCAGGGACAGGGGTGAAGCAGTCACAAGTTGAGGAATGCCAGCAGCCCCCACCACGGCTGGAAGAGCAAGGATGAAATCCTCCCCTAGACCCTGCAAAGGAAGCAGGACCCGTAGGACACCTGATTTTGGCTCTTCCCAAATTTTTAAATATTTTAGCTCAGTAAAACTGATTTCAGACTTCTGGCCTCCAGAACTATGGAAGAGTAAATTTCTGGTTGTGGTTTTTTTTTTTTTTAGATGGAGTTTTGCTCTTGTTGCACAAGCTGGAGTGCAATGGCGCGATCTCAGCTCACTCCAACTTCCACCTCCTGGGTTCAAGCGATTTTCCTGCCTCAGCCTCCCAAGTAGCTGGGATTACAGGCACCCAGCCACCACACCTGGCTACTCTTTGGTATTTTCAGTAGAAACAGGGTTTCACCATGTTAGCCAGGCTCGTCTTGAACTCCTGACCTCAGGTAATCCGCCCTCCTTGGCCTCCCAAAGTGCTGGGATTACAGGCGTGAGCCATGGTGCCTGGTCCCAATATTGTATATTTCAAAATACAGTAGCTAGAAGTGGGGATTTTGAATGTTCTCACCCCAAAGAAACCATAAATGTATGAGGTGATGGATATGCTAAATACCTAGATTTGATTTTTTACACAATGTATACAGGCACCAAAACATCACATGGTACCCCATATTTAGGTACAATTATAGGTTGATAACAAAAATAATTGCGGTTTTTGCTATTACTTTTAAAGGCAAAAACCGTAATAACTTTTGCCCTAACCTAATATTACATGTCAATTAAAAATAATTTTTTTAGGTGGCTCTTCTTGAGGTATGCGTATTTGGGGAAAAAAAAAAATGTGGGCTTCAAGAAGACCTGGTCTAGTTCTTTTCCTGCTGTGTCCACAGGGCCTGGCATGTAGTAGGTGCTCAGCAAACATTGGTTGGTGAATGCATCAATGACCTATCTGTGCAAACCTCTATGTCTCGAGGTGTGTGTGTGCATGAGGATTTTAGGGTGCATGTGTGGTAATGAAACTGTAACCTCGATATGACCTCCCACCTTCTGGGTGACCCCTCCTCCTCCCTCACGCTATCAGGTGCTTTCAAGGCAATATTTCATTTATTCCCCACAACGCTCTGTGAGGCAAGGTTCCTTCATGTCTATATAATAGACGAGGAAACTGAGCCTCTGCGATCATCTAAGTTGTATAAAATGTGTTCAGAAGTGAAAACGGCATTAATAGGCAGAAAAGTACCTCTTCCTTCTCCCGCCCACCCACCGCTTACCCAGACCCTCCCCTTCCCCATGCTGGGTCTCTCGGGACTCTCTTCTCTCTTTTCTATAAAATACAGCCAGGAGTCTCACTATGTTACCCAGGCTGGGCTCGAACTCCTGGCCTGAATTTATGCTCCCACCTTAGCCTCCCAAAGTGCTGCGATCAGAGGCAGAAGCCACTGCACTCAGCTCCCCCGGGACTCTTCGGGAGTCGCTCCGCGGGGTCTAGGCCGAGGGCGCACAGCGCGCAGAAAGCAACTGAGAGAGCAATGCCGCCCCCCGCCACACACACACCTCGCAAGCCCACTACCAGTTTATCCCCAGGCGCTGAAACCACCACGGCCTGGGCGAGTGCCGGGAAATTCCCAGCGGGTGGCTTGCCCGGCGGGAGGCCGGCGCGGCGGTCTAGGCTGGTCCGGGGAGTGGACGCTGCTGCTCACGAATTGGTCCTGCTGGAACGGTGGCGGCGAACAAAGGGTTAAGGGGGCGGGCCCGGCGGCAGGGGCGGGGCCGGGATCTCGGCCGCACCTGGCGCCCTGGGCTCTCAGCCCGGACGCCTCCTGCAGCGCCCGGAGCGGCCGCGGGACCGGGAGCCTCGGCGAAGAGCGGCGCGGGAGCCGGCACCCACCGCTGGAGGGGCGGCGACGGCGGCCGGAGCGACCTCGGGAGGCAAGCGGAGCCGCCATGGCCGAGTTCCCGTCGAAAGTGAGCACGCGGACCAGCAGTCCCGCGCAGGGCGCCGGAGCCTCGGTGTCTGCGCTGCGCCCCGACCTGGGCTTTGTGCGCTCCCGCCTCGGGGCGCTCATGCTGCTGCAGCTGGTGAGAGCTCGCGCGCGCCCGCAGGCTAGCCGGGGGCTCCCGGTCCGGCCAGGGTGGGTGAGGGACTCCGGGCTGCGTTCAGTCTTCGCAAACCTTGCGCTCCCCACCCGGGCTCACGCGCACCGACGCGCTGCGCGTACCCCTGGGGCGCTTCCCGCATGGACGGCCCCAAGCTCACCCTGCAACCCTCTCACCACTAGCCTTCCGCGTGGCCGTCCCTGCGAGCGCGTCACCTTGTTCAGAGTGTCCACTGCCCGTGCCCCATCGGGTCCCCTTCAAGGTGGTTACCAGCGGCCACAGAGAAGCCTCCACCTGAGCCATAGTTACTGCGCACAGCTCCTCCCCCCAACTTTTCTCACCCTTCCCTTCCCTCCTCCCTCTTTCTCACCCCTCTTTCTGCCAGGACAATGCCCTCAGCCCTCTAGGGAACCCAGCCTGAGGCAAAGTCCACTCTCTGACCACCTTCTGCCCAGCTCCCAGCAGCTCTGCGTGGCCGCAACCCCGGAACATTCCTCAACTAATCGAGAGGGCACATCCGACCCCCCAACACGTACACTCAGGCACTACCCTGTGGGCTCCCGCGGGGGAGCCGGGCTCTTCTAGCCTTCTCTGGGTGATCCGCCAGGTTTCAGCAGGTTTGGCCGGCTCCACAGGGCCCAGATAGCTCGCCCTGTGCTGTAAGGAGGGGTTTGTGGATAGCCAAGGGCAAGACTCCTCTTCTTCTCCCAGAGCCCTGTACTGACCCCAACTGAGGCGGACCCGTTGGAACATCCTCCACTCCCACACCAGCTACAGACCTGGGTGTTAGCTTCCTCCTCTGCCACTCTTTTCTGAGGGTCTGGAAGCTGGGTGGGTGCCCCTGAGGGAGGCTTCCCCACCAGCTGAGGGCCTGATACATTCTCAGAGGACCCAGGCGGAATTGGAGTTGGGCCGGGACTCATTTTCCTTTACAATCCAGCGAGTGGACATTTTCCACTGTCACTGCTGGGTGCTAGCAGGGCTGCCAGGCCCAAGCTGGAGGGCAGGGTGGTTGCTTTGGTGCCAGACCCTGTGCTGAGGTCCAGTGTCCCTCTCCCGACCTCCTCAGGTGCGGGCCCCCTCCACCTGGGTCAGTGCTATGTCATTTCAGGATTTCTGTGATCTCTCTTTGTGTGCCACCTCCACAGCCTCTGAATCTCCTGGTGGGTTTGTTTAAAATGCAGGTTCTTGGACTCCACCCCCGGAAAAAATGTGCAATTGGAATTTGAATCTCAGGAAGTAGAGCCAGAAATCTGCATTTTAACACTTCTCCCAGAGTTTGTTTGTTTCTCTTTTGGGGCAGAGAAGATTCTATCTTCTGAGGGAAGAAATCTACTTCCTGGAATCATTTAATTCTACAGGTGGGAAGAGCCACTGACCCCACCACTGCTGGAATGTTCAGCTCTGGGCTGGTTGTGAGGGGCACAGCCTGGAGCAGCTGCTGGGCTGACCAGGGGAGAGGCAGGTGGTGTGAGAAGTGGTACAAAAGGGCAGAGGAGGAGGACAGCAATTCCACAATCAGGAAGGCTTCTTGGAGGAGGTGGCTTCTGAGCAGAGACTTCACTGAAATCTGAGGCAGAGACAGGCAGGAAAAGGGTGTTCCAAGGGCAGGGCACAGTGTGAGCCAAGGTGTGGTGATGAGAAAGTTGAATTAACTTGCAGGGAGTAGCCAACAGTTTGGTGATGCTGGAGTTGAAGCACTTGTTTCTGGTGTGGACAGAAGCCATGGGCCTTGTGTCAACTCAGTGAGCTGTAGGGAGTAGGCTCTGTTGGTGGCCATAAGAGGTTTTGGAACAGAGGAGAGATCTTGCTAGGCAGAGGATGACGGCCAGCAAGATCCCTGTGAGGGATCCCTCACCATCCCTGGTGAGGTGGATCCTGAGGCTGACCCCTGACAGGAGGATCGCTTGTGGCCAGAAGTTCAAGACCAGCCTGGACAACATATTGAGACCCTGCCTCTACAA